GCGAGTGAAACCTTGAAAGCTCGCGAATTCAGGATGGTCTCACGAGGCTAATACTACGCCATCTTAACGGAAAATGAACCAATCCCAATGTGAAAAGGAGTCTTAATCCGATACATCTTCCGTCGCATATACTTGCTTCCTACCATTTCAATTAAAAAGTGAAAATTGGTAGTACTCATACCCCTTAACACTGATCTTAAGTCTTCCACTAATCCCTGTCAAAGATCCAGGCTGAAACATAGATGGACACTCCAAACCTGAGCGCCACTGAACTGCATAAATTATTGACAAAGAGCAACTTGTCCCTGTTGCCCACAAACCTGCTACTCCCCACCGCATGGCCATGATGTATACTTCATCATTGATCAATCTTTCCAGTGTTTTATGAGGATAAAAAGGGAAATCAGGGAACCACAGGTCAGAACTAGACCTCAGTGATGGGACTATTATCTTAAAGCATTTCATTTTTAAACAAGGCTTCCCTGATGGACCTGCTACCCTCATGACCTGATCTCAGATAAGCACAGTCAGGTGTTTTTTATGCCTGTCAGGTGTTGTTGTTCAGATGTTTTAAAATTTCCACATTTCCATTGTTTGTTTCCTTTCAGCTGCTCATCTAGGTCATAACAAGTCACTCCTACTTCCTTACAGTCTTGGCAGTTTTTAAACCACATGCCTTTTCTGAAAAAAAACAAAACAAGAGTCAAACTTAGGTCATCCATCTTAGACTCAAAGACTTTAAGCCCGGCAAAAATGAATGTCAATATAATAACAAGAAACACCAACTTGCCAGAATATATTAAGAAAAAGTGCTTCTACAGTATTAGCCATTAAAAATTACCCCACTTTCCTTGACTGGCCATTGACTGGTCCTTGACTGGTCCTTGGCTAGTCCTTGGCTGGTCCTGGACTGGCCCTTGGCTGTTTTTTGGCTTGCCCTTGACTGGCCCTTGACTGGCCCTTGGCTGGTTTTTGGCTGGTTTTTGGCTTGCCCTTGACTGGTCCTTGGCTGGTACTTGGCTGGTTTTCGGCATGCCCTTGACTGGTCCTTGGCTGGTCCTTGGCTGGTCCTGGACTGGCCCTTGGCTGGTTTTTGGCTTGCCTTTGACTGGTCCTTGGCTGGTCCTGGACTGGCCCTTGACTGGTCCTTGGCTGGTACTTGGCTGGTTTTTGGCTTGCCCTTGACTGGTCCTTGGCTGGTCCTTGGCTGGTTTTCGGCATGCCCTTGACTGGTCCTCGGCTGGTCCTTGGCTGGTTTTTGGCTTGCCCTTGACTGGTCCTTGGCTGGTCCTTGGCTGGTCCTGGACTGGCCCTTGACTGGTCCTTGGCTGGTCCTGGACTGGCCCTTGGCTGGTCCTGGACTGGCCCTTGGCTGGTTTTTGGCTGGCCCTGGACTGGCTCTTGGCTTGTCCTTGGCTGGTCCTGGACTGGCCCTTGGCTGGTCCTGGACTGGCCCTTGGCTGGTTTTTGGCTGGCCCTGGACTGGCTCTTGGCTTGTCCTTGACTGGTCCTGGACTGGCCCTTGGCTTGTTCTTGACTGGTCCCCTACAATTCCTTTATAAACATCAATCTTTGTTCTTAAAGATTTTTCTGTCATGAGTGGAAGATCATCTGTGGAAGATAATTCAGTGAAAGGGTGGAGTCAGAGTAAAGAAATGTGCAAGAGGGGGTCACTCCAGTGGCTGGAAGTTTGAGGGGATTTCGCTGGGAGTTGGATGGAAGTGGGCTGACATTTGGCTGGGAGGGGCCATTTTAATGGCTGCTACTCTATAAGAGATTCATGAAAAACTCTCAGAGAGAAAGAAACAGTTTTTTTGGTAAAACATAACCTCAGAGGCATTGATGCTGATACTGGCACTTACATTTTTTAGTTTATAAACCTAAATATAATTGTTATCTAGGTTTATTAACTTTTTAACTTTACCTTTTAACTTTTCAATTAGCTTTTTACCACCTTTTTTCTTTCAACTTAATTTACAGTAGGTAATATATCATTCAAGGGCTAAATTTAATGTTAACAACTTAAAGAATAAAATCCAAATGCTTTATTTTCTTAAGTAAACACTTTAGTGAGGCAAAAGCAAACTTTTAGAGATACTGACATATGGATGTTTTCCTGCCTGACAGACCTTGGAAAAGATCTTTGTCCAGATCACCTCCACCAACATCTGCGACCTGGTGATGTCCATAGTGATCATGGTGGTAGTGTTCATTGTGAAGGAGCTTAATGACAGATACAAAGCCAAGCTGCCTTTTCCTATTCCCATAGAGGTTATAATGGTGAGTTCCTTTGGTCGCTGACCTTTTTTTACCCTCACCTGTCTCTATATTACGAGGTACCCTCTACCAACCTGTTAGATTTCACAGCTGTATTAAGGATATCTGTTTCATTCATGCAGACTGTTATAGCTTGTGGAATTTCCTACAAACTCAACTTTGAAGATAGGTATAAGGTTGACGTAGTTGGCAAAATGGTTAGCGGGTAAGTTTGCAGTTCTGCATATTTCTCTCTTGTTGTTTCATAATTCAGATTTTAAATGAGCCTTTTGTCACCTGTCAGGTATGAGTCTCCTATTGCACCAAGCTTGGAGGTCTTCAAGGAGAGTGCCGTGGAGGCCTTCCCTGTAGCCATCGTAGGATTCGCTGTGGCCTTTTCAGTCGCCAAAGTCTACTCTATTAAACATGACTACCCCATCGATGGCAACCAGGTGCGCTCTATGTCTATCCTAACTTGCTCTTGGCTGAGCTATTGGGTTAATTGGCTATGCTTAGAAGTGAGAGTACGAAACTTTCGGGTGTTCAGTTTACCAGTTTTTGTATTTTCTGACCATAACATTGGCCTAATTTCTTGTTGCCTCAGGAGCTTATTGCGTTTGGAGTTAGCAACATATTTGGAGCAGCGTTCAGTTCTTTTGCAGCCAGCACTTCCCTCTCCAGAGCCGCAGTGCAGGAAAGTTCTGGAGGCAAAACGCAGGTCAGGAACCCAACCTCATGAGTTGTGCACATTACGCCCTCTTCCACTTTTCCTCATGGTTTACTTGCCTTAAAAAAACAGACCGCGGGGCTGATCTCAGCCATAATCGTGATGATTGTAACGCTGGCTCTGGGCTTCCTCCTGGCTCCTCTTCCAAAGGTGAGCTTATAATTGTTTTTCATTTTTTAATAATCTTTCAGTCCCTAATATATGAATTGATGTTAATATGTTTCTTGACTGCAGTCTGTTCTGGGTGCCCTGGTAATCGTCAACCTCAAGGGGATGCTGATGCAGCTCAGAGAAATCCCGTACCTTTGGAGGAGAGACAAGCCGGAGTGTGTAGGTGCTCAGATGTGAAAAGAAGCTAAAATGGCAGTTTAGCTGTTCTTAAAAAAGTATTTGGCTCCTCAAAGATTTCTCTCCTGTAAATTTACAAAGACCAAAGTTATTAATTAATACCAGCCAGTAGATGGTGCAGAGTGCTCCCCTGCTCTCATGCCATCCTTTAACTTCTATGTTTTGCCATAAATCTACTCTCTAACTTACTTGTCGGAGGGAAAATGACACTAACACCTAAATTTTGATCAATGTTTACCCTCATTTCTCTTCCTTTCCTTTGTTTGAATCTTAGACACTTAACATCTAGAAGCCATTTCTTTATTATGAAGCAAAACTAGAGTCCACAGTGGCATCGTAACCAGAAGGAAATAATTTAATGATTTGGGTCCGCCAAACTTTATAAAACAATTATTTCTTTATGTTATTTTGAGTAAAATTAAAATTCCAGATGTTCCAGAGATGGAAAATCTTTGAAAAAAAAAAAAATTTCGTTGAAAGTTTCCTGCTATGACTAATAGAAGGCAGCAAAGTATCACACTACAGTGGGTACTGGTTAGAAATGGACTGTTTCCTGCGTGATTCCTCCGCGAATCACGATGTATTTCCTGAGGCCAGTTTTTTTTTATTTCAAAAAGAACTGCAATGTACCCGGTCAACCACCAGGTGGCACTTGGGAGCTCTGCCATGCTAAAGGTGACGTTTGTGGGCCTGCAGTCAACTGAAAAGTTTGAGACCATTTGCAAAAACAACCAAAACCTTATGATGATATGATGTTTTTGATTAAAATAAAGTTAATGAATTAATTTAACATAGTGACTGCATTATCTTATTTCATGAAAATTTTTGCGTATGGGCGCAGTTATAGATACACCTCCGAACTGTTTATTTCTATTTATCTGCATCTCTATTATTTAATGAAAAATGATTATAATTAATCTTTTTGGCAAAACAACTAACTTAATCAACAAAGGTCCGTGGATCATCCGTCCACTCGATCGGTCGCGTGCTCATGGACGTAAACTGGATCATTTTTCACGCAATTCAAGTGTCCATTTCCAACCAGGACCCACTGTACCACCTCCGTGTTTAACTCCTGGTAAGAGGCACGTTTTTACGAATTTTCTAGATAAATTTTATAGGAAAAGTTCAGTCAGCAAGGAATAATCAATGGATCATTATTTATACTTAAAACTAATACGGTTTCAGTGATTTAATGAATTTAGAGTTGATCAGTAAAAAAATAAAAACAATAATTTTCGTTGCGATCACTGAGTCCGGGAGCGGCCATTTTTGCCCAGATATAGTAGCCCCTCCCTCCTGCCATCTTCCAGCAGTGACGTC